TCAGTAAAGTCAGACTTTTGATACCAGTTTACAGCCTGTTCATTAAAATAAGATTTCAAGTGGCACCAGCATAAAATCTGATGCTATTCACTGTAACTTCAAAATCAATCCCAGAGACAAAGTTATTCATTAGTTCCTTTGGCACAAAGTACAAACACAGGTGCATAATCTGAAAGTCAAACCTGGTCCCATGGATATTTTTAAGTTCTGCATTGCATTCACTTCCTCAAAGCACCACAGAGACTCAGAGAGGACTCTTACAACTTCCTTGGGAAATCCCACCCTAACTTCTACTCATGGGAAAACTGAAATAATGGAACTGTTTGGAATATCTCAACATCCCAAATTCTAAAGACAGATAAAGCAATGGTATGAAGAAGTATTTGGGACAAACATTCTGAAAGCATTTTGTTGGGAAGGTGAAAGTTTTCATTAGGATTCTGTAAAATAATAGTTACTCAACACAGTTCCTGTTCAATATCAGTCAGTACCAGGTCAGTTTATTTTAAATGTTCATACTGCTGAAATCATTACATTTCTCTTTCTTGTTCTTTAACTTTTTTGGGCACATTTTTTCCTATGGTAACCTGCATTAGGATATAACTTCTGTGGAACTCTTATGTCTTACAAAGGTATTTCATGATACACCCACTTTTCCTTTTCCTGAAATGCTTCTCACAAAACCAGCTCATCTAACAGTTTCCCCCAATGCCATGTTCTACCAGGAAATTACACCACTTACTGGAGATTAGGCCTAATTTTGCTGCAGGAGGAAGAAATCTAAAGTATCACTGATCAAACAGTCAAATTGTTATATCAAATTTGTAGACACAGAATGCAATATTTGAAAAAAAAAAAAAAGATCATGTAACTCAACTCTCAGAAACAGGTTATTTCACTGAGTTTCTGAGTCTTATCCTCTGATTGATACCAGTCCTCTGGAAGGCCAATACTTCTGTGTAATTCTGAGAAACATGCCGAGTCCTCTGGAAGGGCTCCTAAGGACTGAGCTGTGCTCACCTGTACATTTCTTTGGTAGCTGACCAAACATCCCCTGGGCAGGCAGATGCCCAAGGACAAAGTACTTACCAGGCAGTAAGAAAAGAAACTGTGCTAAAGACAGGAACCACAATTAAATCAGAATTGCTCTGTTCCTGCAAGAATGATGCATCTGCGCGACTGCCTACAAAAAACAATGTGCTGACTTGTTACTTTATAGACAGCAACGACTTTTACCAGGTCAGCTAACAAATTTATTTACTCAGACACATTTCTTTTACTTTAATAACAGCATATATTTTCATGGTGTATCTAGCTATAATGGCATCAATGTACATAAAAATCAAAATTCCTAAATGAAAATTTAAATTCCTTAAATGAAAACATTAAAAATTATAAGAGTAATTTTCTATTTTTAATAATTTTAGCCATTTCTTGCAGAGAATGGGTAGAAAACCACCAAGATCATCCTGAGATGTACATTTCCTGTATTTGCAGGATCACTACCAGAAGGTATATGCTACTTCCCTGAATTTACTTCAGCCCTATCAGAAAATAGCAGCCACCATATTATTGAAGCCACAATACAAGCTTCCTTTTCATCCCTTTCTCTCTCTATTTTCCCATATCTGTGTTTCCCCAAACCACCTTGGCCCTCACATCTCTCCAGTTTTGATTCCTTCTCTAAACATCCCACAAGGCTTGTATGATTCCAAAATTCTTCGTCCTGCATCTCCTATACCAAGTTCCCAGTGCTGGCAGGCAGCAACCCTGTGAAGTAATCTGAAGAGTCTCTTACTCTTTGTGCTAGCTGTCTCCATCCTGCCTGTTTCTCTTTTTTTTTTTTTAATTTTTGTTTTTAAACAGGACACAGTTACTGGATTTATGTTTCTATGTATTACAAATGATTAATATACTGATGATTTCCACACACAATTCTTCATTATTTTGGAAGTGACATCTCAGTGGGCTTCTCTCCCAACACTTCTCAAACTATGCTGCAAATTTAACCCTTTCTCTGTTGAACGTGACAGTTTTGCAAGACTTTATAGAGAATACAAACTATTTTGACTTTTAACTATACGTGTACTGAATTTGTCCTGGTATCTCTTGCTCAGAATATCTCTTCAGAATACCGACTGAGAGAACTTATGAAATATTGTGGGCAAAGTTGTATCATGTAGAGTTTTAAGTACACCATCTTTTCTTGGGTTTAGTTTTACATCTGAGCAGAGCAAATGACCACTCAGTGCAGTAACATACCCCTTTTAAATATTCTGTACTCAACACACAACAAATCTGATTTAACATGCTCTCCAAATGCTGCTTTTAATCTCTCATATGCAAAAAGGAAAATATTCAATGTACTTTTTCCTATAGTTTGTGAGTGAAAGCCATTATTATCATTTGATCTCTTTTCCTTGAATTGTATATCACAAGAAGGGTATGTGACCACTAACTTTTAAAATAGCCTATATACTTCTATTCACCTTATTCTGTGATGAGACCTCACAGCAAGGATGGAATAACAATATGGAAACTAACCATCTAATCCAACTGGACATATTTTATTGAAGTCTTATTACTTCCATGTGTAAGAAGAAACTAAAGCCAACTGCAATCCCCAATTTTTGGCTTTCTCAGTATGCATCATATCCAGCAAAAGAGAATTTCACTTTTTGTTTTCATTTTTACAGTACAGTGAAATTAGCCTTAACTTCATCATTAAGAGATCAAGATTTTTAAATAAGAAAAGCAAAGTCTTGATTATGCCTAAAGCAATACTGTTCTTTAAAAAGTTGTAACTTTTTATTTTAATCTCTTTTGCAGTATAATCTTTCAAGTACTCATATCAAAATTTTAGTATAGATGATAGAATCTTCAAGAATGGAGACACAGAGTAATGACAAAATGGTTATAACACAGAGTCAAGTCAAGCAATTTATATTAAAGAAACTTGTCATGGATAAATGCAATGGCAAAGAATTATATTCAAATTTTTTCTGAAGGAGCATATCTAATAGACCAATAATTCTTAAGATACAAAGCCTAGTTTCCTAAGAAAGATGAATATAAAATCATGAGCAACTATAATGAAACAAATATTTTCTTTCAATATTGACAGAGATAAATAGCCCTTTACTAAAGCACTTTCAACTTTGTTTTCTAAACAAGTGATATTTGTCAGATATATCTCTGATATGAAAAACAACACCTCAAGAAGGATCAATCAGGTAAGTAGCTTTTTCAGTGAAGGTCAGAGAATTAAAAACTCATATTGTAATTTTAGCAATATGTTGGGCATCCTGAATTTTTCCAACATTATTTACTGATAACATTTTTTTCTCCACTCACTTTTTTTTCCACCATAAATGCTTTCCTCTGTTATACGGTAGATTTTGACTTTGCTGCTCACCTTAGAATAGTTTTCTCCTCAAATGTCAATAATAATACAAGATTCTAGAAGATAGGCTGTTTTGGTTGAGTCTATTTCACATTTTTGTGAGAATTTAAAAAGAAAATTAATTTCCTGCACTCACAGCTGGCAGGACCTTATGGCTTTATTAGCCCTAGTTTAATCAGAGGCTATCTACTAAAGAAAGGAGGTCAAATGCTGATCATTTAGAAGGATGAAAAATTATGGAATCATAGAATGGTTTGGATTGGAAGGGACCTTCATCTCATTCCAACTCCCTGCCAGGGACATCTTCAACTAGACCAGGTTGCTCAGAGCTCCTCCATTCAACCTGGCCTTGAACACCTCCAGGGATGGGGCATTCACAGCTTCTCTGGGAAACCTATTCCAGTGCCTCACCACCTTCACAGTAAAGAATTTCTTCCATATATTTAACATGAATTTCCCTTTGTTCAGTTTGAATCCATGACTCTTTCTTATCGCTAAAGTTCCTGATGAAGTGCCCTTCTCCAGCTTCCTTGTAAGCTCCCTTCAGACACTGGAGGGCTGCTATGAAGTCTCCGTGAAACCAAATATTTGATTCTTAATGGAGAAAACATTTTGGTAGACAAAATGAATTTACCCTAATATGATTATGTTAAAATTAGTACAACTACTCTTTAAAAGAAACTGTACCACAAAGATAAAGAAACATAGTATTCTGATTCCTTCTGCATATTTAATTCAGAATTACACTCCCAGAATGAATAACACTATTCCTTCCCAGAAAAAGGCTAATTACCAAGTTTTAATTACTGCCTATATGATTTATATTTTGTGAATTTTACAGTCCCATTTCACTCTAGTCCAATAATTTAACTATTCTGAAATAATAAAAAAAGAGTCATCAGATAGTGATGAACACACTTAATTTAGATATTTCTAGAAACTAGAACTACTGATGTGCATAGGAAAGAAATCAAGTTAAGGGGAAAACTCCAAAGAGATACAGGTATAAAGCACATCAGAAAGCTCAAAAGGACTTCCAAAACCTAATGTTCCAGATGTAACTGATACTGATGTACATCTCAGCCTTTCCAAGCTGTTCTGTACTTACGAGCTCAACACGCGCATGAGCATCACCAGAACACACGTGAACAACTTCTGCAGACTTTTCTCAAGAGATCTCTGAACACTGTGTGTCACAGTGTGTTATACTGTGCTGGACATGAATGCTTTTTCTGTGTCTGATTTCAACATTCCTAAAATGTATTTTTAAGAAGCTCAAGGGATAAGCACATGAGAAAAATAAAAAAGAACATTAAAACCAGACTACACATGAAGATTTTCCCCCTGCATCTCACAGTACACATTCTCCCTGCTTTGCAGGGGAAGTTAAATTTCTAGCTTAGCAGACACTATGCACAATGCCTAGTAGGTACATGATTTCTCATTTGTTCAGCTGAAGAAAGGCAAGCATGCACAAAACTGCAAAAGAGAATAACTTTTAAAAAATATAAAACCTCAACTTCTAATGTAAAGTATTTCTTCTACGGGGAAATATATTCATCCACACAGAACACTTAAAAACATATAACCTGTGTACCTGAACTGTGGAACTGATTTCAGATGCAAATCCTCCTGTCAAGGGAGCCTCATGGCTAATCAGCAATCGCCCAGTCTTTGCCACCGACTGAAAAAGAAAAACAAATGCCCAAAATGTCATCAAATTACAGCTCTCGTGATTTCTTACTTGTACTACTTGTGGAATATATGAAATATGTGACTTTGTTAGCACTGTTAGAACACAGCTACTTTTCCCCTCTTGCATTTCCAGTGAACAATAAATTATCCTAAAAGACTCAACTGACTCATTAATAGGATGGTTCTATACTTACTATAAAAGTATTCACATTTTCCACTCAATTTTAAGAAAGTAACAAGAATAAATTTAAACCAGTTTCATATTAATTTACCCTATCAATGCAAACTGTAACATTTCTGAAACAGAATAAGAATTTTAACAAGTAGCCAGGAAAAAACTGAGTCCTCAAAATACTAAAATATACATACACAAAGAAATTCTTCCCTGATATCGCTATACAAATAAATCCTATATAAAGTCATGAAACACTGCTATTCATAAAGTAAAATTGCTAAATAAAAATTTTAGGAAGAAACGTGTGGATTAGTGCTACACATTCAAATTTTACATGGCAATTAGAAGTACCGCTTTCTAATTTTAGATTTCAATATTTGTGCACTTGTTATGTAATCTACTTCATAGCTAAATAAAGGGCATAATATATACAGATGATCTAATCATCTTTGATCAAAAAACCAAAACTGTGCTCATTGGAAAAGGTAACAATGTAACAAAATATTTTTAATCTTATGGGAAATATAAAGCCTCACCACACACAAATATATTGATATTTATTGGAACTATGCTAAATTGCCTGAATCAAACAGTATCAGATACCTTTAGTAAGAAATATGGTAGCAAAGTGTCTGCTTCCATGACATGCATTTTATAATAAAAAGGCTCATTAAAAAGTTTCATAAACTCCTAGATATGTACACCAGAAAAAAAATCAATTATTGTGTATGTTAATCTTTCAAGAACAGTTACAGTCTGACATTTAAGATAAATACATAGTGTACTCCTGGTCTAATGTTATCCATCAAGTGGAAGAGCCCAAGACAGCGCTTGCTATCAGAGCAGACCTTCTGAACACTGTGATCTCTAATTTAATGTCTACACCAGCACACTCTCCAGCCAGACAGCTCCATGTTATCTACATAATAGGATACATAAAGGCAATGCTCTAATTATGCAGCTTTCTCTCTGATTCGAGTATTTTACTAATTCTTTTGCTTTTCTAGCAATGACTCAATCAGTGGCTCTAACCAGCTCATGCACAGATGTACTGGCAACTCGTAGGCTATAAACATGTTCCGTATACTGTACTACAAAATGGTTTCAAAACATTCAGAGCTAAGCAAGACAGAAAAAGTAATTTCAGCAGTTGGAAACTAATCCAGTTACATAGGCTGATTTCCTGGGGTATTTTTCCAGCACTGGAAACTCATATCTAAAGGAACAGAGGTATTAACTGCACTGTAAATCTGTCTAGTACATCAGAACAACAGTTCCATGAACAAAATGTACACTCCAGTTTTAAGCTGATATGATTAAAACTGATACAATCAGTTGCTATAGTACAAGTTACTATAGTAAAACTGATACAACTAATCAATGTTAAAGTTCAGGCCAGTTGTTCAGGGTTTTTTTAATCCTCTATTTCAAAGAAAGATTCTTTTGCATTACAAGCTGTCATTAAAGTTACAGATTTTGTTTCTCAGAGGATAACAGAGTATAATCCAACACTGTTAGTATATGGGAAAATTCACACAGGGTCAAACCAATAAGCCATCAGTCCAGTAAATTATCTCCCCAGAGATAATTTAATGTTTAGGGAAAAATAAGAAAAGGACCTTTAATGTGTTCCTTCACTATGTCTCAGTCTCCAATTATTTTGACATCTCCAGTTTCTTGAATCTAATATGGACTTTTATACTAAATAATTAATAACTTTATTTCATCTGTTCTCAAATTGAATCCATGTAAATAAAGAAAAGATGGGGGGAAGGAAAAATATTCTCTTCTTGGTAACCTGCTTCTACTGTGTGAGAAATCCTTGCTTTTACAAATGATTCCCACGGGAAGTCCATGTCTGTGGGAGCTTGTTAAGAGTGAACAAGCAGCTGTGATCACCAAGCATTGCATACAAACATCTCAGCCCTACTATAACACACTATATGTATCACTCCTGCTAAAAAATCATGCAGAAGTTTGGTGCTTTTAGAACCAAACCAACCCTACAGTACATTTTTCAGGAACACATGCAATCTTAAGTATTTCTAGTGTTTGTAAATGAGTCGTACCTACTAGTAAATTGTTCCAGTTTTTACATCCCTTCCTGGTTACAATTTTGCCCTATTTCCAAACTAATTTGCTGATTAAACTTCAAAGCTGCTGCTTCATGTTTTATTTCTGTTTGCTAGAAGAAGGTACTATCTATTATCACATTTCTGCTCCCAAATGAATACATTAAGACTGTGAACAAATGGTCTCTTAACCACGATTTTGCTAAATTAAGCAGACTGAGCCGTAAATCTTTCAGCAGACAGCACATTTCCAATTCCTTCCTCATTCTTACAACCCTGCTCTGAATCATTTGCAGTTTTCTATGTCCTTCTTGAAGCACACCCATCTGGAGCCAGTATTCCAGATTTTTTCAGAACACCATCAAATGCAAAGATAATGGAGCTGCAGTACTGCAGCTCTTGGATGTATGAAGCCTGTTGGCCAAAGCATAACAGGAGAAGTCCAGCTTTTAGTGATAACTGCAACTCCCTGCTTGTGGGAATGAAGGCTAAAGCACAATGGTTTCCTGGAGTAAAGATGAAAATATAGTGTGCCTTTATTACTTCAAGACACAAAATTATATTTGGACATGCTGAAAAACATCTTATGTGCCTGAGCTTAGCTCAGTTAATGAGCTTATGTTCTCTTTATCAGTAACTGTCTATTTTATCTGTTTCTTACCTCTAACTTTTTTACCAGTAACGCAATGTTTTCCATATACTTGATAGAAATATGAAAAAAACAGGTTCAAAATCCAACTTTGCAGAACCTTGAGACTATTTCCATTCACTGTCACTGCCTTTCTATGCCACACAGTTACAAGTCAGCTCACTAATACTGTCTTACTTCTCAAACTATGATAATTCATTTTTGAGCACCTATTAAATGTTCTCAATGCTGAACTGTTGAGCATGTATTTCTAATTATTTTTGAACAGCTGCTTCTTTCTTGATAGTGTCTTCTGAACTTACAGATCATTCTCCCCAATTAATTTAGTACAGTTTTTTGGGGGGAGAAACTGATCCATAAGGTATCAAGACTAAGAAATTCCTGGTCAAGAAATAACTTTCAGTTAGCAAACATAGTGCAGTCTTTGTATGCCCTCTTAATTTTAATTACGATATTGTTTTTCTATCTTACATATGACAGCACAATACAGTAATAACAACAGACAACAACAACAGATGGGATTCATCTAGATACAATTTTTCAATATCTATTACAACGAAAAAATATTTCAGTCGACATAGCTTAGAACAAAGCCTGCTAACAGATTCATAGTGTCCTAGAAAGCTAACATTTCATTTCTATATCTTCAAATGAAAATTTAACCTTACTTCCTGGAAGCAAAATAGTTACTCAGTTAAAAGTACAAATTTCAAAACTAGCTGCTCTACTATCTACAGGGCACAGCAGACATGGTTAGTGATTATTTGCATGTATCATCATTGCTCTTTCATAAGTAATTAATTTCACTTTATAAATCTATGGCAGAACATTAGCTCCTGTTAATTTAGACGAGGTGATCATTCAACCACCAGGATAACCAAAGCCCAACATTGAGAAGAGCATTTAGAGTACAAATAAATGCAGCTCAATAACATCAGGTACTGGGGTCCTCAACCAGACTTCCTAGGAAACACCACTGCATAAAACTGGAGAAAACAGTGGCTAAATCTGCACAGTGTAGCAAACTGGCCAACATAGAATCCTACCATTTTACCACTTTTTCTGAAGGTGGATAGATGGAGTGGTTTTATTGGTCTGGATTAGGTACAGAAAAGGATGGCCTTTCAAAGAACAATGCATTTTGTCCCCTCACAACCAAACACCTGTATTTCTGTACAGGATTGATTCACCCCATTTCCCCAACATCCACATTCTGTCTTCCAAAACCGTAGTCTTTACAGTTTATTACCTAAGTAAAAAATTAAGATTTTGAAATGCATGCACATTCTGCAGCTCATGAAGATCACTTTTGAAAATATATCTTCAAAAGTGTGGTATGGCTTAAGAGATTAGCACTGATGAAAATGTTACTTCTTTACAACTAGAAGTTGTTGCTTGCTGATCTTTAAAGTCTACATACACTTCAGAGGGCACCAAGAGATTCTGTATATACATCATATCTCGAATTAAATGAAAATTGATTTTTTTTTTTTTTTTTTGCCATCTTCAGTAACAGACCATAAAGGGAAGTCAGAGGCAACATCCAGGCACTTAGAGAGCATGGCTTCTCTCTGTATCATGGTCATTCTGTGCTGTCACAGCCAAGTCCAGATGATACAACCCTGGGATTTCAGGAGAGGGAGAGGTCCTACTCTGCCCAGAACCTCCTTTTCCCAACCCATCCCTGACATCTCCTCAACACCAGCACGGCTACTGGGAAAGTCACTTGACAGGGATAATCTGATTTATCCTGTACAGTTAGCACAGAGCAGCAAACACCACTTCAGAGACAGATTTTGAGATGAAAGGCATATCAAGATTTGCACAGAAAAAGCTTCAGCAGTTCTCTCTCCTTCTGGAAGGCAGCAGAGACCCACGTTATGGCACACCAATGTCACCTCTGCTATATGCAGTTATTAGAGAAGAGAACTCTAGGGCTTTAAACTATTCAATTAGCCCCCCAAAAAAAACCAGAAACCAATACTGAATATACTCTTCCACCTCAACTTCATTGTCCTTTCTGTTTTACATTGGTGTCATTCACAAGAATGACAACTGACAGTGCATCAGAGAAAAAGGCTAACAGCATGATC